TTCTCACCCAGGCAGACACACGGGTTATTCACTGGCTTCTTAATGATTAAGAAATTGTCTCCGAGTATGGTGGTGCGCACCTGTCATCACAGCAGCTCTGGAGGCTGAGGCAGGAGGATCGTGAGTTCAAAGCCAGCCTCAGCAACTTAGTGAGGCCCTGAGCCACTGAGGGAGACCCTGTCTTTAAATAAAATGCAAAACAGGGCTGGGGATGGGGCTCAGTGGTTGAGTGCCCTTGAATTCAATCTCCCCCACCAAAAAAAAAAAAAAAGAAAAAGAAAAGAAATTATGCTTCCCAGTGTAAGTTAAAGAACCAATAAAAGGAACCAGAAGAGGACACAGGACCCAAATCTCTTGGTTCTGTATCCACTCAAGAGAGAGCAAGCCCTAGGAGAGAGGTTGTGAACACACTGCCCACATCTCGAATTTCATTTCCACCAGATGAGTTGAAATGTAAGACTTCAAACTCTTAGTCTGTCCTTATGGAAGGTGTTAACCCCAAATCTGAACAAAACTCCTCATCCCAGCATCCCCTCTGAATACCTGAAAAAGTGACTGTGTGACCAATAGGATTCTGCAACATGTACACTCCGGAAAATGAGAAATCATATCCCATCTATGTATGATCTATCAAAGTGCATAAATGCATTCTACTGTCATGTGTAACAAATTAAAACAAATACAAAAATTGATTAAAAAGAACAAAGCCAGAAAGCCCCAGCATTGGGGATACTTGATTTCGTGATTCTACATTGTTTGCCAGTCTTGCTCCAAGTTGTGGGGGAAATCAATCTCCTAAATAAGTTGGGTTGTTTCCCAGGAGGAAAAAAAAAAATGTTAGAATCCTACTGGCAAAGCAAGAGGCTATTTCAGCTGAAAATTTAGGGAATTAAATGTTCCCAAGACCAAGAGCTCTCCTATACGTAGCCAATAAATAACACGGAGTAGGTGATGCACTAAATATAGCTATTACAGCCCAGTGACGCACGCTGATGTGAAAGTCCTCTTTGCCTGGAAAAGGACTAGAAGTGATCAGATGGAAATTTCCCTGAGAACGTAAGAGCTAAAACCTGTGTTTATTTGATTATCGAAATGACAGCTCCTTTACGAAGTCACCCCAGACCCATGAATAAACCTGTTATTTTTGAACATTTCCATCAACAGCTGCTTTTCTTCATTGGTCATTTAGAAAGCATTAAATGAAGTGTTTGCTGTCAGATTAGATACCTTGAGTGGTTCCTAATCACTTTCAGATCTTAATGATTTCAGGCAAGGAATATGTGTGGTGACTCATGCAAAGTATTACATTCTCCCCTCCCCCCACATCCAAGGCGCTTCCATTCAAGTCCTCAAGGAAGGGGGAAAAAAACGCCCGTTTGAATGGGAAGGATGCAGCTAGTCTAGATATTAAAAAGATATTGCCAGAGGTGGTGGTGCATGCCTGTAACCCCAACGGCCCTGGAAGCCGAGGACTGAGAATTCAGACAGCCTCAGCAAATTAGGGAGTCTATAAGCAACTCAGTGAGACCCTGTCTCTAAATAAAATACAAAATAGGGCTGGGGATGGGGGCTCAGTGGTGGAGTGCCCTGTGTTCAATCCCCAGTATTCCCCCTCCAAAAAAAAATCTTTAAGGCATGCTATGTAGAAATTCCTTCATCCAACCCCATTTCATTAGCTATATATATGGTGGCAGCATCAATGACACACATCAGATGAATTACTAGCAGGTAGATTGTTGATGATTAAATTACTTTTCCAATGTGTGGTTATGGTTCCCAACAGAAATAGACCCGCTTGTGAGAAGTGGGATTCAAAGCCCTTGTGGGGACACCATTGTGAAAGCACTACTTGTCTCCAATAATAGCACCTATCTCTGGTATTGAGCGCCATGGGTTATTGAAATGATTAAGTGAGATAATATACATCAAGTCTTAGGGCACTTCTTGGCACATAATGTGTTTGAGACAGTTAAGCCTCTGCTGATTCTGCCATCCTGGTTGGTGACCTTCTTTTAAGCTGCATCCTCTGCTGACCATAGCGGGTTACTTAATCAGTATTTCCATCACCTTCCATCACCCTCCTCATTGCAAGAGACAGCTTGTTCGGACTGTTTGTATGGAGGAATGACTATCCCTAAGGATACCCTTGCTTTAAGTTCAGGCCTGTTCGTTTGATTTAATAGAAGTATGTTTCTTCACTCTGATCAAGCAAATGTTACCACCTATGATGCCATACCCCTGATGTCCAACCCATTTCCTACCAATGAATATATTCTTGACTCCCCATGCGGTTCTTCCCGGTACTCCCCATCTCTTAACAGGGTGGTAGAGGTTATTATTGTCTATCTAATCATCCAAAACAGAAAACTGAAAGTCATTCTTGACTTTGCCCCCCA